AAAAATATGTAGGTAATAGCCGCTTTTATAGATGGCGTTGTAATTAAAATCGTGTCGAATCAGTTTTACTCGATCGTCACAACTTCGTTCCTATCGGTTGTCCCACGACACCACACGACTTTTCTAATTTATTTAGATTTTGTTTTATCATCATCAACAGCCTACAATAGTTTACAGCTAAACATAGGCCTCTCCTTAGAAGGGAGCCTACCATACCACGCTGGCCAGACGGGTCATCAATTTTTCCTTCTCTTTGCAATACAGTTGTCTTGCGTGGTTTACTCCCTTAGTCGGCTCTTCCGACACCTACGGGATAAATAGAGGTGGTGACACTCCGTATTCTTAATCCGTCAAATCACGGAATGTTTTGTTTACATCTATATTCATATTAAGGGTAATTGAATCATTTTAGCCGTGGGAGAGTCATGTCCTGACATATATGCCAGCTTGGCAGCAAGCAACTTTTTCATTGCTTTTCAACGAGTGAGTGAAGTCAGCATATGCCCAACTACCCCATCTCATACTTGAAGGGCGGGAACGTACTATCCCTTAAGCTGCAAGTCGTACCTCCTGCTACATAAAAAAATGTTTGTTTTTTAAATTAATTAATAATGACCTCACACATCTTACACACGGCCTTCTCATTTCAAACTAGGCAAAGCCTGTATTATGGTAACCAGGCTGCTGATAGACATACTCAAATATTTCTAAAACATATATATTATTAATAAAACACACGGGTGTGTTTTAACAAATGATCGTGTTCATCGCACAATTATTTGTCCTGGGTGGGAATCGAATCCACTACCTCTGATTTAGCAGTCAGGATCATTAACCACTAGGCTAACAGGCCGGTCAAAATTAATTCGATCGATTCATTTATAAATGTTCTGGAAAATTTGATCAATGCTAGAACAAGTCCGGTAACAAGAAGTACAGTTTCAACGTACAACATCATTTTATTGTTAGATGTCTTAGAAATTTTAGTTTATCAGAAACATCCTATTTTAAAACATCATCGCTTCTTTGCTGCCTGATACTTAAATCAGAAGAAGTAGGCGCTGTCATGACGGTGAGAGCTTTAGCTTCTCGTACAGAATCTCAAGTACTAATATACCGATCTTCGATTTGTTTATAAAATCTATAGGGTGACTAAATGCAAGTGATTTACCCCATCGTTTTCAAATAGCCAATAAAATCGTAGTTTATACAATTTAAAGAGGACTGGGGGCATAATCACTTTCAAAATAAAGTAGCCATTACAGCATTCATTCTAAAAATATATACTTAAAGTTGTATTTGTGTACAAATACAACTATATCGAAAAGTCTCCTTTCAAAACTCTGCTTCTTCAGATCTTTCTGTTGGCAAAATTTAAAACATAAAGAAGTTTACTCAAGTGATTAATTGTGACTCATAAAAAAACATATATATCACATAGGTATACGTGTCACATATGTACAAGTGAATACTATTTACCATTGTATCGTTGCATAAATAAACGAAAATAATGTGCTACGGAACCCGTGAATAGATAAGACAGATCAAAATGCCTTAAACATTTTTTAAGGAAAAAAATATGACCCAACTCGATACACAATGTGGTAGGTCACTCTCAATGAGCTTTAGTTGTTAATGTGTAAATATGTGTTTCACATTTACACGGCTGCGACATCTCGACGACGCGACCACACAATATAAACAATTTTTTTTTGTCAAAAAACCGGCTTTCAACGAAATTAAATATGAAAAAATGCACAATATTTAACTTTAGTAAAGAATAATTGCGTAAGTATGTTAATGCAAGTCATTATTATCCTTTCTTTATTTCAACAAAATTACCTACACTATACGTATCTACGAAGTAACTAGTAACTGTACGAATATCTGTTCTATATACATCTTTGACAAACATACAAATATATTTGTTTAAAACTAAATTCAGTAGTAGGTACTAAATAGGTACCTACCCATTCACTATGTGCCTCGTTCGCTGTATTCCCCTTCTGCCCTCCTGCCGTAAATACCCTCCGCCTCCCGCTGCATCGTTTTACCCTTGCGCACCCTTGCAATTGTGTCTCCATATGTACCTATACCTTTATGATATGATTATAGTAATTCATTCCGCGACAAAGTAGTAGCTACATTGGCTGTCTCCGACTCCGAAAAAAGAATCAGCAAGATCAATAGATATATTATGTATATTATGTACAATAGTTGTACTGTCTGTTAAGCAATATAAAAGACAGGTACATGGTACTGGAATAGCGGCTGTTAATTGTCTATCATTTCATATGTTAGTTCCTAACATGTGATCCAAAAGTTATATCGATAACATTTAACTAATTGAGATAATTACTACAACGACGACATCACTGTCTAATCCTGCACCCGGCCAAAAATCTTGCCTACCTGGCGGGAACCAATCTTATGTTTAGGGCTCATTACTAATATAAATGTAATGTTCACAGTTTATAAGAAAATTAATAATAATATAATTCAAACGTTATATAAAAACACACATAGGATAATGGGAGGTATGTGGTAAGAAGCCTAAAATACATAATATTTACATTTTTAATTAGAATAAGAAGTTATTTAAGTCGATTAAAATACTACTAGTAATACTTTACTAGCTTAAATTTTGTCGCACAAAGTAGGTACGTTCAAACTTTCCGCTTGGCGCTATATCTTAAGTTTTTTTTTTTCACCGCTTGGCATATTCAATTGTTTGCTATAATTGAATTAGAACACATTGTTTTAAATAAAATCTGTGATTCATAGCGACCATTAATATAAATTGATATATTAAGTGAATATATTTTTGTAATTAGTGCCATTTGTTGTCGGCATTCAGTAGGAAGCTGGTCTCTTCAATCTACAGCAATCTTAGTTCCATTTCTTACTCAGATGGATCCCGGTCTTGCGGTATCCGTCACCCCAGCTCCCTCCTTTTAAGTGATTTACCCCATTTATCTTCTTTCTTGGTTCCATCTGAAAACGATGACGTGCCCAAAGAAAGGTTGGCATCAGGCAGATGGCCGATTATAACAAATGCAGCCAAAATCTTTTGCAATGTTACGCATTGTACTACAACAAATTAAATTAAATAAAATGGCAGAAAAATGATGATAAATTGTAATTATTGACAATATATCAATTTTTAAGCATCCTCTTTTACTGAACTGCTCAAAACTGTAGTTTTTTTTTTAACTAGAAGCCTAATCTAACAGTAACAGGTTTTCAAAAACAAATTATAGCGTCACAGTTAGAACAGATTAAACAAATATGGCGGGAGCCGTTTGACAGTGCGCTTTGTGATCAGTAGCGGGACGTGTTACACTACATAAATAAATATATTTTTATGAGCATTGTTATTTGATTTCGATCTTTAACTCGTCGTGTTAAAGTCTAAGAAACTTTACATGTTGGCAAAAGTAATATCGTGTGGTGAGTTCTTTTATTATTTTTCAGGTTCCATCGCCTCGGCCGTACTAATTTGTCGGAGACCAAGTCACCAATGCAAATAAGGCGGGTGTTGTGAATACCTTGTGTAAAGATACGAAATTGTTTCCAGTCCCGACTCATGGGAACACGCGTGATCTTGAATGTGTCAGTTTGTGACTTAAGAATATTAAACGTAATATTTGCTTAAGTCCGCTTTATGGGATCGTCAGTGGTTGTTTAAATAAGACCGATAGTGGTTTTTGTCTCAACGACTGATTAAGGCTAGGTACTTAACTACCTTTCCTTAAAATGTTATGTCAGATATTTTTGGATAATACTGACTTCATCTATGTATTTTCAAATTATTAGTTTGTGGGAGTCATGCTTCGGCACAGAGCAGAGCAAAGGTACACTACGGTCTCTCAATAAACCGGTATTCAGAAGTTTTGAATACTGAAGCACTAATATCCTTTAAACGACCAGCAACGCATTTGTGATTCTGAGTTTTAGGTGTCCATAGACGGTGGTAGTCACTTACTATCAGGTGACTAGTCTGCTTGTTTGTCCCCTTTACCATGAGAGAAATGATAACCTAACTGTCGAAGATCAGAAGTGGTTCTGGCACTTTGTTTTACAATGTTCATTTAAGACCATGACATTTTACTATTATTTTTACGAGACCTTAATTTTGAGATTTTCGTTTTACTATTTTTCAAAAAGTATTGAATAAAACAAAATCAAATGTAATAATAATTTAATTCCGCAAACATAGATATTATGTTTGCCGCCGTTATAAATAGGTACTATTTGAACTATACAAATAATGATTAAGTCATAAATACACTGGCTCTGTATTTTTACAATTATATAGTTAACAGCTCTATTAAAGCTAGACATGTTTCATTGGATTTCTGTAACATATAAATAGTTAACAAAGAGTCAAGTAATAGTACTAAGGTAAGTAGGAATGTAATATACAATTAAAATTATTAGTCTAAGTCACGAGCTAACACGTCATACACATAGTACAGATTGACACAGCAGAAGTGAAACTCCTTAAACATGATTAAACGCATTCATATATCGACTTAATAATTTTATCGACATCCAGAAGCTGAATTGGAGTCTAATACTATAATCTAAATTAAATAATACAATTAATAAAGAAATTCAAACTAAATTGGAGTTAAGCGAGAAATAAATAAGACCTTGACTAGGATGATCGGAAAATTTAGAATGTTACTCGCCAGATAATAAATAATACATTATAAATTCGTTACTATTTACAACAAAAAAAGGAACTAATTCGTTCTAGACCAAAATGGCAATGTAATGGCAAAGACAGTTTTTACATAATTCGCTATTCAACAGCCAAAAGATGCAAATAAATTCCACTAGAAAAAAACCTCGGAGCTAACTATACTGAAGAGCACTGCCGTGACGTTTGGTCACATGATGTAAGCGCCAAGACTATCTAGTCAACCAGTAGATACATGGGTTTGCAGTTTCTCCTCAAGTCGTAAGCTCAGTCTCAATAACCACAACCGATGTATTCAAACTTTAGATCCTTTTTCAGCGAGCTTTGAGAACACTTGTTCGAGATAATCCATGTAATTGAGAGTGTCTCGATACAAGAGCAAGCCGAAACTGTTGTCATTGGTGAAACTTGGCACATCTTTGTCAAGAAGAGGCCTGATTTCAAGGTTGCGAGCGTTCATTATTTCCTGTAACAAGAAATAGAAATATTAGTGAGCTATCTGTATGTCCACAGACAACAAGAACAAAATGTAGCAAGTAAACTTTAAAGTAACTTGGTAGTACGTTGTTGCTTTGGAACAATTAGGAAAACATTAAAGAATAACTATTTAAATTAAACGAGAGGAATCGTTAGTTGGCTATTTCTTATAGTTATATAAATAGAGTCGTAAATAAACTTTAATATATTTTTAATACTTACATTAAAATAGCAAAGCACCGCTCGCACATCGTGCATAGTCCGAGTTATATTTTCCTTCAAGACGTCGTCATTTGCTACGTTGTAATTTAATCCCTCTTGAGAGAAAGTGTACAAACCCGCCACTACCATTTTCAGGCCCATATACATAGAGGGCAGTTTTTGGTCGATATTAGCCTATGAACAAATAAAAAGAAAATTATTGTACATTCAGGTGTCATTGAGGGGTAAAAACACTGTTAAGAACTTAATTTATTTACAATTATTTGTTGTGCTAGAAAATGAAAAAAAATAATCGATGTAATCGCTTTGACTGTTTATTTTGCTATATACTGCTCGCTTACATTTTTCTACAAATATAATCCTGGAGGATTAATCATAATCATTAAAGACAAGCACCAATTCAATTTAATAATAAAGACCGATCCCCCTTTTTTGGAAACTCTTAATATGAATGATTATATAAATTCTACATTCTTAAATTTAATAACAAGTTACCTGCTTGTAAATGAGTACTTAATGTAGAAGAAAAAAAATACGTGACCAAAGGCTATTTATATTAATCAAAACTTTCTAAAGTAATAATTGTACAATACGTTTTGATTCTCAAAATTGCATGTCTTTATTACAAAGGTAACAAAAACCTTGATAAGGACAATCATAAAGCGATTATCATCCTAAATTTTATTACCGCCACTGCATTGCGAAATCATTGTGTTCTCACGTAAGCGATAGTCGGCTGACAACAAAAAGTGCCACCGACGATGTCGATTCTTTGAAATCGATTGAAAAACTCATACGGATGCACGTTTTTGGCATCAGCGAATTTGCCGCCCTTCATCGATTGTTTTCATTTAGGATACGTCAATCTCTTAATGTTCGTGTATCAAAACTGTAAAACCTAGTTGTTACGTCAAAAATAGACAAAAAGAAATTTTTATTAATACTTACTATTACTTCTTCAATATATTCGTCTGGCATCTTTTTATTGAAGACTTTCTCCTTTGGCAGAGCATCTGCGTAAGTCTTCCTGAGCCAATCTTGTGTCTCCCAATTACGTAGAAGTTGAGCAGAAAAATTTGGAAAAGTGTGGAGTTTTGCCTAAAACAAGTAAAAATATAATTACGATAGTGCTTTTGGAAGATTTTTGGTAAAAATAGATATAGAAGCAGTTGTGTCATCAATCATCCTACTGAAAACTTTCATATTTTTTTTACCACTCTTTAGCATGGCTTTATGTTTCCAATTTTTAAATAACTTTCATAGTGCAAGTTATCAAAAACTAAACTAAAATCCGTTTACAACTGACGAAGACATCCCATTACATTTAAAATACAATGGGATTAAGAATATTCTACATTTCATCGATTTCTATTAAGAATATTACTTATGAGTAACAAAATACAAAACGCAATTTTCTTAGAAAGTACCTCATGATAATATTCAATAAAAGGCTAGTATAAATCTACTTTTATTAAGTAGGTACCGTTACAAGCTCTTTATAAAGCTTAAAACTAGATCAACAAGTTAGTACAATGCCATGATTGACTACATGAAGAAAAGTACTAATTAGATAGATGATGCAGGTAGTATCGCTTTACTTGGGATATGAATCTTAGACTTAGCCTAATATGACAGTCGCACATGATGTAATAAAAAAAATCCTATTCATGTATTGATATAGTGAGTAATAAGTGACTGTCTACTGTCTTCTGGAAGTCTACTAATTCTTAGTTATTGATGAAACTGTTTAAAGATTTGCCAAAATTTCATTCCACTTCATTTATGATTGTGGCAAATGATTCTTATTTAAAAAGTAGGTAAAAATTATCAACCAAAAAAAGCATCTATTGGTTCCAAATTTAAATACCTTTGAATTTATTAACTGTCATTGATCCGAAAGCATGTTATTTTATTGATATCATCGTCAAAAGAAGGTCAAATGTAAGATGAGATTGAAACCAGAAGTTTTGCTGCCAACATCGATAACATTATTTCACGTAACAAAACCGTTTCGCCATTAAAATTTGACACTAAGTTTAGAGCTCACGTGGCGGGTGAAGCCTAAAGAAAAACTGTCCCTGTTGGCACAAGCACAGAGTTTAAATATCATTGACACGGAAAGAAACAGCCAATAGACAGGCAGATGTATCGGTGACGCAGTTAATGGCCCTTATGTACAAAAATATTGTTAAACGAACAATGTGTCTAATTAAAAGATTTCTGATTCTAAAAAAAAAAATACGTCGTTGTGCAACTGGTTTATCGTAACGATCAGAAAATTTGTCCAAATTTTAATTTGCTCAATTGAAATTGAGATACCGCTGATATAAACTTGGCTGATAATATGTGTAATAAAATAAATTTACGATTATATCTTTGGAAATAAACCGAGCTGCGGCATATGAATGGAATCAAAGAGGAGATATTATCCGCGCCCGAAGTGGTAAGTAATTGGGATGAAAATTAGAGTTTACGGTAAGATCGCCTTTAAAATGTTTTTGAAACAGTGTAACGGTTTTGTAAAAAAATTAAAAAGTCGTTACAAAAAGGTCTTGAATGGTTTAAGTACTGAAGAATGTCTTAGTAATCAAATCGTATAGAGATGGAATGTGCTATGTAGTCATTGGCACACTAAATACACAGGTGTGCGTCCGGTCCATCAAACCATATCCGAAACATTACCTACTGTGACTATGATCGAGTTAAAATATCTTAGATGTACTTAGTAGAATATTAAAATTGTATTACGTGTTCATATTTATGTACATGCTTCCACATAATATAAAAATGTATTAATAAATACGCAAGTCAAAAGTCGGTGATTCTACTTAATTAGGTACATCAATTTATTTAACTGAGGACATAAAAGCTTGATTGAAATATTTTGGTCTAGTTTAATAATAAAAATTTAAAAATATGTTACATTGAACATATTTAATTTAAATTTAAATCATTGTTTTTATTAAATAAATAAATAAATAAGTACAATAAAGCCGAAGAATTGATGGATTCAGCAATGTGGAGCGGCCGTGGGTGGGCAATAAAGTAACTCAGAAATTCGACGACTTAGCATCCAAATGCCTAGCTCGAAACATCGGAAGCTTATCAAATAAACATGCACCCACACATGCGCAAACATTGATATATTTACGACACACGTACGCACCCAATGCTCGCAGACAGTCTGTCGCCCGTGTGAACTACACTATCGTACCTACTATGTATGTACATATATGTTGTATGTATGTGCTATATAATTTAGTGTTTATATTGCGACGCTAATAACAAAGATAAGCGTGGTATATGCACTCGAGTACCGACTTGCAGAAAGCACGGCACGTCGCGATCCAATCGCTACTATCGATTGGGTTACACCGCCAATCTTCGCCTTCACCTTCATCGTAATTGTTATCATAAAATTATAGCTAGTTCTTATCACGTTTTAAGGAAGCAGACCGAATATCACTGTCAAAAATGTGATGCCATAATATGACACCGAAGTGGTCAAAAGCACAGTATTATGACATTCACACGGTGGCCAGTGCCGAGTCACACAGTACCGGTAGAGTTCGTTGAATTTGTTATTGCGTTCTTAGTACAACGCGGCCAGTTATTTATACGGAATGGGCTTGACGACAGATGTAGCAGTCTGATTTATTTAGGATATATTGTCTCTTGTACGTAACTTAGACGATTATCTCGTTTTAATGTGATGACTAATATTAATGGAATGAGATCAAGATCGAGATAGTAGAAATATTATTTTTAACGAGAGTGTAAATCAAAAAAGGAACACTATAACGGCCTTGTCATCTAGGAACAATGGCAGCTTACCACCACGTTTTGCGTCTAAATCGCAATAAATATGATACATTAGTAACGAATGACCGACATTATGGGGGAGGCAGAAAAAAACGTCGGGCAGGTGTGTAGCGCAATACTAATGCGCAATCAGTATTCGATGCGTATGCGCACCGTCCTGTACCTCGTTCCGGCTACTGTGAGTCGATAATGTCGTTTTACGAGGAGGCAGCGGACAGGACGTCGCCGTCGTTACGACCGTCGAGCCTATTACAATGCCACCAAACCTCATACGCGAACATCACACTTGATAACTGGACACATTCGACATAAAAGCTTCCATTGTTCCGCTACCATCGACGACTTGACTCTCAATAAATCGATTGTATTGACAACTATCGCCGAAATGTATACTTTATACGTTCAGCGCCAGTGATATCGTCAAATATATTGGTATAGAGGCAAAATGAATGATTCGAAGCGCGATGTCGACATCGCATTATTTCTCGTTGATCGATCCACCTTACTTCCGATTCGGAAATTAGTGTATTCCTAGGATTGGAATGATATAGCCGTCATATGAATCGTTGTATTATGGTTGGTTTATGAATTCTTGAATGTAGGTTGGATTGTCTGCTAATCGTGGGCTGTATCTAATTATATTTTATTTCGTGAAAACCCTGTTGGAGTAATCATTGCTTAGGGATGTTTATAATTCAATAATCTGAAATCCCTTTTATACTTCAACGTATTTGTCGATTCCATAAAGGTAAAAATAATTATGATTTAAGTCAAAAAGTGAAATTTGTTTGTATTCAATGTTAACTACATCGCGTCCTATTAATACATTACTAAATAATAATAAAAAGGGAGGAAGCGGGCAAGCGGACGTAAAGAACCGGCGGCGCCCGAGTCGATGCAATCTTTCTTCCATGGCTGCGCCAGCGCGCCGCACCGAGCAAAGCTCTACGGTGAGAAAACCGCACCAAAACGTGATCGGCGTGAATATTTAATGAGCCAAATTTAACACGAGAGTTTTTGAACCAATAAATACTCTATCATTTATTTTTAGCATTAGATAAACCATTATCTAAATATGGAAAATATACTATAAAAAAGTTGCAGACTTACTATTAAATATAATATTAAATTGAACTTTATAGAACCAAGATATCGTATTTATATCTTACTGAAGGAGGGACTAAAAATCTTCTGGATATAGATAACTTTAAATTCTTCGCTTCATCAACATACGAGAGAAAGTTGCTAGATAGATAAGTAAAAAGTAGTGGGTCCACATAGGAACCCTAAAGCAACCCAAACATCAGCGAAAGAGATAAAGCTATTTAATGCATCTAAACTCAGTTCTATTTTCAAGTTATAAAATATTGAAAGTGCGTCATCAAAACATAGAAATAAAAGATACAGGATCTCTAAAGAAAAACGAATAATATCATCGTAGATACAAACACTAAAGTCTTGCGTCAACGATAGGTTTAAGATTGATTGGTATTGGTCGACCGCAAGCTTCGTCCGTTCATTTGACGCGACGCGGCGGGCATATAGATGTGTTCGCGAATACTACGACTAATGTCTCGTGCAACATCGATGAATGAAAGCGAAGAAAGGCCTTCGAACAATTACTTATTACTAAAGCTTTTCTAAGTTGCAGTCAACGAGCACAGCCGACGTATTTGAAAATCACCGTTTAAGAATATGTTAGTGGTGAAGTCTAAAACATTTCTATTATTATAAGAAGTAGAGTTTTATTTGACTCCAATAATTCGTTTGCAAAAATAGTTTTAAGTAGTTATAATTTTTGCAATAATTTTCTGTAAATACTGTTTAATTTCTATGTTGTCTACTGATGATTGATGACACATTAAAACCTCAGGGGTGACATATGGAAATAAAAAAAGTTAATTATGTACTTACAAATTTTTCGCTGTAATTGTACGCCTTATTGTAAGCAAAGAGAGCTTGCTTAGCGAGCTTCAACGCAATTACGTGAGTTGGTGAGTAGGTTGTTTGATCTGCCGACTAAAAAGAAAATTTTATATTACTAATAAATTAGAAACAGTTACATATACATACTAGCTAGAACGTCTCTTACGAATTTATTATCATCATCATCATCAACAACATTTACTAGTCCACTGCTGGACATAGGAGCCTCTCCTTAGAAGCGATACGGTTTGATATACGATTTTTGTAAAGTTTTCATGCATGGTTTGCTCCCTTAGTCGGCTTTTACGACACCCATAGGATTAATAGGGGTACTGACACTGTATTCTTACTCAGTCAGTTAACGAATTTATTATCAATTTTGTTTATTGAATTTTAGTAACCAAGAAGAGAAAAAAGACCTAAAAGCTTTTATAAATTGCTAGTAAACTTACACTATCGCTGTAATCGCAGGGGTTCGCCCATAATCCATTCTCCTCATCCGCAGCACGTCGTTGTCGCTCCATGCTAGCTCGGTTTCGATGTGGCGCCGCCGACGACCTCGGTGACAAACCACCGACCAACAAAAGCAGACACACCGCCGCACAGACGTTGACGTATCCTAGACAATAATATACATTGTTAAAAAACTTGTATAAATATAAATAACGAAAATTTGCATATCATTCTGGTTGGTCATCAACTCAAAAAGCAAAGTATTTTGGTCTATGATTGGTAATAGACAACCCTGCTTAAGTATCTAATTAATATTAATTGCTTGGTGCATATATTGAATTGAGAATTATTCAAGACACGTTTGTGAATGAATGTTGCATTTACGCAACTTTATAATTCCTAGAAGTGCATTAAAGTGATTCATAAAATTGGCTTTGGATGAAAGTTTTTTTTTTGATGCATCTCATTCAATGACAACGCTCAAGAACTACTTGTTCCGTATGCGGCACGCGCGATGGTATCGATTATGGTAATCGATGAACATCCGATGAATAAATACAACGTGGCCCAGAGGTGGACAGCCTTTGCTAATTGTCCACTGAACCTGTGTGAATCACTAATGCGGCTCTATTTAACGGTGGCACGGTAATCGGGCGGACATTCTTCTGATTAGTTACCTTAACCAACAAAGCTATTGAATATATGTAGGATCGATGTATATTATCAAGGTTTTTCTTAAGCAATTTTTTCATATGAATAATTGGTTATCTAAGTGGACGGTGTTTACGTAGTTGCATTTAATGCGACGGTGGATATGTAAATAGGATCTATTTAGGGGTTTATATAAAAAGAAATACATCAGAATTATCCTAACAACTGTCGTCAAGAGTAAAGAGCAGACGGTGTGAATCGTTGACATGGTAGTATTTCTTGGCTTGACATTCGTTAAACTTGAATATGATTAACGTCGATAAAGGAAATAATTTGATGTGTGATTGACATATTTTTTTTATTTTATTTTAATGTATGGCAAACGCTTTTCGCAGCTGCCCTCGATATATCCAAAAATGATAATGTTATGCAACTAATTCAAAAAATTGGATATTGATAGGCTGAATCATTTATGATAGGTAATAACTTATGCTCGAACTCATGTGATCACTTTCATCGGTGTTTGGAGCTGACATTGGAAATTGACAAAAACAAAGGTCAACAAGCACTTTAATCTGATTACTGAAAACATTGTCATATATTGTTAACAGAACTGTTAGTCAGCGTATGTGTTGCTGTATGTTTAAGCTAATTTTGAATAGTGTTCAACTAGACTTGACTAAAGACAATGTTCTCGACAAAGACTCGAACTAGTTGCCGGCTCAGTATCATTGCATGGTTATATTTACTTATGTAATATACCTAATATGATAACACCTATACGTGGAACAATTTGTCACATTTGTTTTAATTAACAGAACGAACTTTTCATTTATTGAAATATTTTGATATCATGAAGGATTCTACATTTTCTATAAGTTAACTATTAGAAAAGAGGTAATTATTATTTAACTACATCGGTGGCAAACGAGTATGCGACAAGATCGTTTAATTAAAATAGAATATCTCTTCTTTATATACGTAAATTATGACGGATAAGCAACAGTTGTAATTCCTTGTCGGAGATATTTTATCAATTAACATACATCTTGATAAATCAAAGATTTCGCAACGAATGTGTATGACACAACTAAAATCATCGGCAAACAAAATTATACGATTCACGCGCATAGAATGTTATTTATTTTTTACTGTTTTGAGTCAAGGTGTGATTCACATTTATTATGTCTGGTACTTAGTCACTAACGTAAGTAAAGATCTCACAGTTATTTTACGATAGCGTAATTAGGCACCACAATCTAACCAAATTTTATTAAAAGTAAGATTTATTCTACAATTTTAAGGTCATTAAATTCCTTTGGATACTAGGGTCGTAACTTTTTACAATTAAAAACGCAAACTTCGGTTTACAACTGTATATTTGTCAATGGTCACAAATATTTGTTTAAGTTGAGCATTCAAAAAAAGAACAAAAGTTTCAAAAGAATTAACTTCCATCAATACATTTACACAATTGGTAGAAATGTGTGCGTGTTATTTTTTCTGTCGTCTCGTTAGCGAGCCATGGCGTTTCGCTCTGAGAGCCGCAGGCAACTCAAACAAATAAAACAAAATTATAGTTACAGGGCTCTGAACCGCTTATTTAACTAGACTCTGTGAACTGATACCGATTACCCCCTCTTGTCCCACGAACAACAAAGGACTCATATTAACACAAAATAAAAATAAAAATAAAAATAAATTGCATTAACAAATCCTACTCATTAAGTATGCAATCCTAACTAGCTGTTATTTGGTTGTACCTACGTTATATTGCCCTCTAATTGACACAATAATAATGTACCAATTGGGTTACAAAAGGCGACCGCAAAGGTGGAGTCGGGCAATAACGATCATGTCAAAAGGAAGGTCCGACACACACAACACGCGTTAAACACACGATCATAACATTTTATTAGTGCTTCGGTCAAAAGCAACCGCGAGACCGCGCCGTCAAAAGTTCATGTACAAAAAAAAACAACAGGTCAGCTCGTAAAAGACGTAGAGTCACTGTGAGACAAATATTTTCACTGAGTAACCATGAGATAAAATATGGGGCTAATTAAATGTTTGAATCTCGATATTAAACTTTACAGTTTTTACTAAGTATATTTACATAGTTATTTAAATGTCAATGTTATTGGCAACACAAAAATTTGGATCAGCGGACATTGACCATGTACCCAACATCACAAGTACTCAAAACAAAAACATTGTCAGTCAGCACAGTCATGATTGCCAATGGTATTACGTGTTTAAGTATAATTAAAACAAATGTTTTTTGTTGTTTAAACGATCGGCAAGTAATTGATATACTCTTTATACCCCAACCACTTATACGTGGAGATATTTGAGATGAACAATGAGACTCGATCGAATTCCTTAACCCATTGAAGAACTGACCGGGCGACCATAAAAACCGTAGATACCTACACGTAGGTAATACACAGGTTATAAGGGGGCATAAAAAAGTAGGGACCGCGTCGGAGGTCGGACCGACTACCCGAGAAACAAAGAGTTCGTTTATTTTTTAACAGCTCGCCCGTTCACAAAAGAGACTTCGCGGCACGAAAAACGACCCAAACGAGACCATCTTGTTAACCCTTTTAAAAAGAAATCGCGCGCTCGCTAACTAGAATTTCGACTCGAAAACCAAGAAAAGTTTGCCGCGGTGTTCGGCGCACCGGACGTCGCAGGCGCCTGCGCAATCATTATGTAAATTTCGAATTATTGTTATAAATGCGTTCAAAAAATTGAGATGAGTTTCACGCTGCCATTACCTTAGCGGTTCGTTACAAAAATTTTGTCACGATAATTTGACAGGTTTATTTGAATCTTGATGTTGTAAATATATGGATGGAGCGCAGCCGCTACAGGGTTGGAGACCTAGACCATTAACGGTGATTCTAACATCCGTTCGGGTGACATTGCATAGAGTAAGCGCCTTGTCTTAGCTATAATAGAGGTTTAATTTGAGTCGGTTCATCATTTTGTTAGTAGCCGGGCTAACAACCGATGCGCTCGTAAAATTTGACTGCGCATAATAAGAGCGATTATCGCGCAGAGAGGTGCGTGGCGGTGCGTATCATAAGAGTCGCGGTGATACCACTCTTCATTAACTGAAAATCACTCTAAATGGTAATAGCGTTGCGAAGATCGTTGATCGACCCTGTTCACTTCAGAATTAACGAAACAAGCGCAATTTTTTTAAATTAATTTTAATAAGGTAGCAACTGATATTATATTATCTGGTTTCATATGTCGAACTTAAAAGATGTTAAGTACGGATCTTGTAAGGTATTTAGCGTTGTATTTTTTCAGTTCTTGTACGAGATGAGGTAAAACTAATATTACGTTTATTGTACTGTAAAAAGAGTTAATTAGGCGTGTTTAAGCTAGGATCGACATCTCTCACTAAATGAGTGACAGCTAAACACTGCAATTATGAAGTGCCCGTCTCACTGAAATAACTGTTTATAATTGATGCGGCTGCCTTACTCCGCGTAAATGAACATCGTTTTATGTGAAAATGTTGCTAATGAGAGAGTGGATCGCAGCCCTAATGATGCGGACATAGTTCATGAAATCGAGCGTACTCCGTGTACATTGCTTTAATTATATTATTATTACATAGCTTTCTTATGTACAACCCACCTAGAAATATAAAAATTAACTCGTGGATCTCTTTAGGTCCCTTAAATTTTTATATTGCTCACATCTTTTAGGTTTACCGTAAAAAAAAATACAGTCCATATTTAACAAAATTTAAATGGCAAAGTTTTTTTATAGTGTCATGGAGATCTGAAATGGAAGATATTTTCCTGACTCTCAACTTATTATGTCTACCTCGAGTTGTTGTTGTAGTTACAATCCTTTCACACTCAATTAATTAATAGTACCTACTTATAGAATTACCTATTTTTAAGATTGTAAATAATAATGTTAGTTTATTTATCTAACTGCTCATCATATTCGTTCCCAGGAGTACGGATAAATACGCTGTGTCTATCATCCAGAAAAAATACCGGTCAATAAGTAACATGCGACCAAAGCTTATGCAATATAAACAATATTATTTAGAAATGTATGCTTACAATAAACTGTTGAACAATAATTTTATAATCATTGATAAAGCTCACGGGTACAACAATTCACTCAGTGCTCAAGTATCGTTGAAGGATTGATCATCTTTGTCATAAGAGTTTTTTTGGAGACAGTGGGCTTAACATTCCAAGTAATTTTATTTACGTGAACTGTCCCTGTTTTCTTCATTTACTTTTATTACCAAACATTTTTATTGTGTTCTTTGGAATAGTTTTAAATTTATCAAAGATGACATGTTTAAAAAAAAAAAGTTTAAATTTGTTAATATTCACTAAACATAATGATTTATTCAATATTTCTGAACGTTAAAATTACTGATGGTTTGTTTGAAAGATCTTTAATTTAAACTGTTGCTGCGTAATTATTGAACTACTTGTAATATTTGCAAGGAATCATCTATTTTAAAAACAC